AAGGAATCGCAAGGAAGGAATCGCAAGGAAGGAATCGCAAGGAAGGAATCGCAAGGAAGGAATCGCAAGGAAGGAATCGCAAGGAAGGAATCGCAAGGAATCGGAAGGAAGGAAGGAAGGAAGGAATCGGAAGGAAAGAAGGAAGGAATCGGAAGGAAGGAATCGGAAGGAAAAAAATTGTTCTCCAAGTCACCTTGGAGCATGTCAGCAGTCTCCTTGGAACACATCAGCATTGAGAATTGTCCTAGTAACATCAAAGGCTTTTGACAGTAGACAGCCATTTAAAAACGTAGATAATTTCAGGGTTTCCAATTTTCTCATACCAAAAAAATAAAATATATAAATATGCTTTAGCTGGCCCAAACAGATAATGAGCCTCTATACAAGCATGAGTTTTACATTATAACAAGTTAATACTCTGAGGGGGCATCTTCTGAAATCTTGATACAGATCAGATTTAAATACAATCCCTCTAAAGTCTCTGATATGGGAAGATTAGCCAACATTAAATAAGCTATGATCCTCTAAAAAAATAAAATTATGAAGAGAACAAAGTTAAGATCCAACATGAACACACCAAGGTACTGTTTCTTCCTCAGCTACCAGAAAGCAAACCATTCTACAGATCACAATCTAGTTTGGTGATGCATGAAATCCTAGAGAACACACACTTGAAACTGGTAGCTTTGTAGGAATAACTTGCATTTTCATTCAGTATTAGTATCTCCTACACATACACAGCCAAGGCTGGACAGGGGAACTTCTCTTCCATAAACACAGCAGACATCCATGTTATGCTGCTGGCAACAGATCAAAGCAAATCACCTGAGATTTCATGTACAAGATTTTTCTCCTTATTTTCTCCTGAAAATGTAAGAAACTCAGTTATCTGTATGCCCAAAAGATGCAAATTTCCAAAGCATTTCTGCATCTGACACTTTCCACAAGTGTTTGCATACAATCTGGACCTCAACAATAAAAATATGCAAATGCATAAGAAAAGGGAGACAAGTAACATTGAAAACATGTAACCACATCCTCTAGAATAGTAAGTTGATTTCTGGAAAGTAATTCTTAGAAAAGATTAAAAAATGAACATAAAAACAAAAGTTTACCAGCAAGCAAGAAAATTCCTTTTGAAAATGGATTACAGGGATTGTTCAAATAAAACAAAATTTTAAAAAAAACCCAAATCAGACTAATAGATTTTCAAAGAAATTTGAAATTATCTCAATTAGCCTCTTCTAATCCAAAAGAGTTTTCAAAAGATCTGAGGGACCAAACACTGAAAGAGAACTCTCTTCCTATAGAGTTAACTGAGGCTGAGGAATTTGGGGTGTGAACACAATGATTAAAAATGAAGAATAGACATTCATACTGAAAAGTAATTATGTTAAAACACCTAATCATATAAGAAAATCTCACAGCAGGTTTACAGGGTTTCATTTAACAAAAGCAGGTAAAACTCCAAAGCAGAACAAAAACTACTAGTGTTAGAAATTTCATATGGAAAATGTCCTATGACTATCCATTACTTCAACACTGCTTTCTACTACTAAAGAAATGGTCTCTGACTTGAGAGCTGCAGTTCCTCTCTCCTGATTGATGTTTACAATTACAATGTCATCCAAAGAACGTTAACAACATAAAAGTTCTCATAATGAAGAGTACTAATAATATCACCATGTAGTGAGTAATATTTATGCTTAGTCCTTGTAGCTATGGAGCTAGGCTCATGAAAGTTTGATTCTTTAAATACATACATTTTTCAGACTCCAGAACTGCTTTCACAAATTAGATAACATACTTGTAAAAAGACACTTAATCCCATTGCTTTCACTAAAAAAATCCCAAATATCTCAGCATTCAGACTGTAGTTGCACATACTATTAGAGCACAAAATATATTAATTCTTTTGCAACACAACAGTTGAGTTTATCCACAGAGAGAAAATTTAGTAACACTGATTACTATATTATATAACTTCATTTTTGCACCTGGTTTTTGGATTTGGGATTTGTTTTGTTGCTCTTGTTTTGTTTGTTCATTTTTTGTTTTTTTTTTTTTTAATATCTGACCTCCATATAACTCCTTTAAATATTAAGAACTAATGTGTTTAGATACCCAAGTTTAGTCAGGAAATGTGTGAGATGGCATTTAAATGATACTACATTGCATTTTTAGAAAAAGTAGCAAGTGAAAGACTTACAATGCAAGTCTAACCATACTATGAGAAATAGCCATGATGCTTTTAAATCAAGCATTCTTCTTTAAGCATACTAATATTTCTGTATAGCTGTTGCATTTAAGAAGCATGCAAAATTCTAACTGCATAAACCTGTAATGCTTTATCCTACTTAGAATTATATTCTCTCATCAATACAATTCAGAGGAGAAACTGCTATGCTGGGCCACGGTACCATTCAAATCAAAGTACATACACAAAACAGACTTACTTTTTCTCTCCAGTTAGTTGACTTAAAAGCAGATTTGTCTGTTTGTTTTTTTGTTTTTCTGGGTTTTTTTTGTTTAGTACTAGTCTAAACAATTCTGTCACATTTTAGCCAAATGTAGCACTCTGTACCAAAACTGAGAGAGACTGAGCAAGAAACTGTTACCACACACAAACAAAAAACTTGCCCAGTTGTAGCTCAAACCATTTAATTCTTATGCTACAAGAAGTGCTACTGAAACAAACAGTGTCATTCGGGAGTACTCATGAATACATAGTATTAAATGTGTAATATTACACTGCCGCGACCTCTGAACGAGCAGTGAACCACTGCTTCCTCAGCAAGTTGTGTATCTGGATTTCCCGCAGCACCTGGCATCACAGGCGGCTAGAAGTTCTTAAGAAAACAGTTTTTCCTGGATTAAAGTGAGAATGTTAAAACATTAAGTAATGCAAACAACAGTGATTCAAACTCCTGACTCAACACCCCTAGTACAACACTCTGCCGTGGTACATTGACTAGGTTTTCTTCGCGTGTTTAGCACAAAGGAGAAACATACCATGGATGCGACAGCCTTCTTAGGAATATTCACAGCCATACTTCAGAACTAATTAAATTTCTTCAAGAAGATTTAAACAAAGGGGAAAAGTGGCCATTATTACCAAGTTTTCTAGTGTGCCTAAATACTTAAATGAAAGACATAGCAACTATTCTGCTCTCTACAGGCAGTACCTGTTACTCATGAGTAACACATACAGAGGTATGCCTTCGTGCACTAAGCATCATAAAAATAAATTCCGTGTTGTAAAACATACAAAAGACCTACAAAAGTATCTACTGCTAGCTCTTACCCCAACAGGAAAACCAAAGGAAATCAGAATTTAAAATCCATCTGCAATGACACCTACTGTAAGAGAAAAGATTGATGACTCAGGCTCACATCTGCCCTTCATACTCCTCAAATTCTCTCACTGATCTCACACCACTAGGCTTACAAAAGCATCCTTGGAGTGGAAAGACATATAAGAAATTTTAACAGCACATTTCTTTCACAGCATCTGTTTGTAATTAATTTTTTAATGGACTCCGCACCTGGTAACATTCCTTGCCAAGTGAATTAATGAGCTACAGAAGAAACCTCAACTTCTCAAGAAAGGCTGTTCTTTCAAGATTACCCTAAAAGTTGCGTGAGTTACAGGCAGGCCACTAATTCCCCATGTAATCGTCGCCATTTAAACATCAGACAAAGGTCTACCTGCTACAGATTAACCTCCTCCGCAGCCCAAGTGCTCCGGGGCACACACGCGATTACCGCCTCTCCTCCCGCCGGCCCTTTGACATTCAGGGGCGGCCGGCGACCGAGCGGCGACCCTCGGGCTGCCGCGCCGGGCACGGGCTCCCGTACGAGTTTCGGCACCGCACACCGGCGGCACTGGGGGACACACACAACACGGCTGATTAAATCCGACAGCTAAAAGCCATTTCCAGGCTGTTTCTACCCACGGCGAAGCCCGGGAAGGGGGGGCGCGGTGAGGAAGCGCTGACTGTCCTTGATGTATTTCTGTCCGCTCCCCGGATCCCCACAGCACCGGCGGGACGCGCATCACCGGCGCTGCCCGGGACGGCAGCCGGCCCATGCGGCGGCGGGGGGATTTTTGCACCCCGTTCCAGGGGGAAGGGAGGAGCGGGCGGGGGACGAGCCGGGCTGCGGGGCCGGGACGGCCGGAGGGGGTCGGAGCCCGCGGCGGGATGGGCCCGGGAGCGCGCGGCGCCAGCGGTACCTGATGATGTCGTCCTGGTGCCCCAGGTAGAATTTCTGCCGGTGCTCCCGGGGGCTGTAGACCACACCGACCCCCGCCACGAAGTAGACGATCTCCTTGGCCGCCGTGTAGTAGAGGTTGTTGCGGCACTGATGACCCCGGTAGCCGTAGACCCACTCCAGCCGCAGGTGGCAGCTCGGCGCGCTCCGGTCAGCCATGTCCACCCGCCCCCGCCAGCCGGGTACGGCTCGCTCCCGCCGGAGACCCCGCGGGAAGGGG